TTGACTTTTCTCTTTGTATTCTCAGCTGACGACATAATAGGGTAGTTATATTCCCACCGATATCTAGGCCTATGGCAGCATAACTAATAGATGTTTCAGACTCACCGATCCATCCTAACTATAAGCTTTATCAATAGAGAATGGGTCCCCCTTTAAGCCCTACTGATTTTTTTTTTATTTTTAAGCTATTTTTTGCCCTTTATTGCCTTATTGAAGTGCCAGCCAATAGATAGACAGGAAAGGTGTTAGAGAGAGAGAGGGAACGACACCAGCAAAGCCTTGCAGGTTGATGCAACCCGGGCCGCTGCAGCAACTCCTTACATGGTCGCCAGCTCCACCGATCTGAGCCAACCCGCCGCCGTGTTAAGCCACTCTTAAATGTGGATGAGTGTCTGCCTCCCGAACAAAACTGAAGCTGTTCCACAAGTGCATGTAGCGTGAAGGCTCTGGCTCTTGTTAACTTTTAGATGCCATATGATACCACAAGTAACCCTGCATTTATAGATGCGTGTTCTAAGGGTAAATTAGAGGTACTATGGTTGGGTTGAGCTCTAAAGATATAAGGCTGTAAAATTTTTGGAAGTCTAAGCATGGGAGGTTGTCCATCGAAAAAAAAAGTATTACTGTTTAAATCTAAAGTTTTTAAAAAGCAATTTACAGTGAAACAGTTTTTATTTCAGACTTAGGGGTTTACCATCCTAAAAGGCACCACAGCGACTATTTATCCAGCGGAAGGGCACCCCTAAGGGCACTTTATATTATTTGGCTATCATTTACAAACCAAGAGATTGTTCTGTAGTTCTTTCATACATGTGCACCGAGGGTAGCCAAATTTTGGAAAAGCTTTGTAGTGAGCCACCAAAGCCAGTTTACATTTTTTCTATTTGACAAAGAATAGGTGTCCTGTATCCAAATAGGTATTCAAGGACAGAATTAAAATTAGTTTCAAACCAGCTGTGCACTGAGCATGCGTCAAGCAAAAAAACAGGAATATGTTGTTCAACACACCATGACCCACACTTACAGATACCATGACAACATTTATCAAGTACTTTTAACACAAAAGAGGAATTACACCTTCTTTGTGCTGACATCCTTTCTGTCCCACCTTGACTTGATGCACCACCCGTCCTGGATATGGCAGGTCTCCTGGGGTCTGAAGATCCCTGCTGCTCGCGCTGAAATCATCGTTTGGCCAACTGTAAGATAAGCATGTCAATATCAACGTAATGGGCTTTTTTAAAAAGGGACTATGGAGATAATGAAAAGGTTTTGATGATTATGTCCTTTTATCTTTATCCCTTTGAGTCTTCAAGACGTAAAGAAGTTTTTCAAACTTATTAAAATACAAATAAAATCACTTTTGAATTCCAGTGTTTTATTATGATATGATTATATACAGTAATATTCATTGTTTTACCACACATGAAACGTATTCACCTATCTGCTTCCTACTTTGTCGGAAGCATTTCTGATCCTTCAAAATGAACACTTAATTAATACATGAATGATAAAGGTTAGAAACACAAGATTTTTTTCGAAACAACAATGTGCTTCATATACAACCTTGTAATGACAAAGATTTCCTGAAAAAAAGAATAAACGAACCCTCCTAGATTTGCTGTTTCTTAGCTACCATAGCTCTACATAGTTGTTTTGAAACTTTGAAAAAATTTTAATCTTTAAGCAAAATTTCTCGCGAATGGGACGTAACTGTGCGCAGAATGTTTCAATGTTCAACCACAACCCGTGGCCAATACCCTTAGCCTATATACAGTGTGCTTGAAAGTATGAACTTCCAGAGCATGTGGAGTTTCTATTGTTTTAGCATTACTTCCGTTTTTATATGAAATTAATGGTGTATGTTTATACATTCCATATACTTTTTTGAGAAATCAATTGGATGAAAAAATAACTATATTTATATTTTATATCATTGTCACAGAATTTTGGCTAAAAGATTTAACAATGAAATGACATGCCTCGAAACAGATCAAAACGCAGGTTAGTTTAGCCAAAAAGTAACCCATACAGGTCAATCATGCTGAGAGTTAGGTGCACAAATTATCACAATATTATCGTTCCTCCCTCTGGGGAGTGGTAAACAGCACATTAGTTCTGAGGAATGCTATACTAAAAATCTAAAAAAAATTGCACTTCCACTGTTCCACTTTAAAGCTGACTGAAAGTTTTGCACAGGACTGTATATAGTTTATTATACAATGGCTGACCATTGCTGAAGGCAGAGATCTGGGTCCAAATTTGCCACAGAGCCACCATTAGAAGATAAATTACCATAATAATCATACATTGGAACTATCAGTACCTAAATTACCTAATAGCATTCTTCATTATTATTTTCACTATGTGTAACATAAACAAAATGAATAGTTAATTTTTTCATGTGCAACTGTATAGTGTGTGTCTTTTGTTCATATCACAAAGTGCAGCAATGCACACTCTAACCAGCATAGTGATAGAGTTTCATCTCGGACCAACAGTTAATTATTCCTGTAATTAGTCAAATAAACTGAGCATTAGTACCGTAGGAGAAACAAAAAAACTCAAGAGACAGATTAAACGGTGGAACTGTACATTTCCTGTGAAACCTGAACACATTTAGAAAGTTAAACTTATCATGCTTAGAGAATCTATGGTCATTCAATACAACCTTTACTTTTCCTTAGCCTCACCAAGAACACCTGTGACATAAAATGTGTATTTTGTTTGTAATACTTGCAGCTTGTGTCACCTGGCCCGTGTTCCACCACCAGTACTGCTGTCACTAGAGGCTTTTAGGCAGCACTCACACCCAAATGCAAACCAGGAAGTAATAATCTCTGTAGACAGCTATGATTCACAATTTAAGAATATTGGTTGCCCTGTACTTTCTATGAGCATATGATGCATTTATATAGTACGCAAAGTAAACATGAACCGGCACTGAAAATAAAAGCAAAACTAAAAAATTATAGTAACTAACAATAATACATACTGTTGAATTGCTACTTTAAAACTGAAATGATTTACACTTTTTTCTCTTTTAATTCAAGGTCAAAAATGAACAGGTGGAAGCCATACAACAGGTACCGAATATGTAACATTTAATGTATCTCATTGTATATAAATGTTTATTCTAATTGATGATGATATCTATAGTTGTATTTATTAATATGGTACATAATCTGCACTTTATACCTTTTTTCACCTCTGTTTAGATAAAACTGCATTTCTTTCTTAAGTTCTTGTACTTGTGGGCAATAACAATAAAGTCAATCTTATCTAATCTAATCTACTTCATGCTACTTTGTTTGAAATGCCTGAAAGGATGTTGTGATTGCATTCCTTTTCCAAACCTCTTTCATGTATTGTGTAGTTATAGGCTGATCTGAGATCTGTTGCTGGAACCTTCTAAGCTCAAACAAATAGAATTTCGACAATTTAATAGGCATGAAAAGCATTTAATCGTGTGGGAAAATACTACATGTACACTTTTTAAATGTTATGAAACGACATTGTGGCATTGAGTTTGCCTGATTTTTGTTCTGCTTGAATGCAATAATTCAACTCTCTTACCTCCCACACCACACACAAATTCCACTTCCCTTCAGTACACCCTATCTGCCTCAACTCTACGCACCATGACCAAAAGCTCCTGTCATGTCTTCAGTACCCAAACAACTGCCACACAACTCCAACTCAGTATTCAAGCTTGAATGCACAGAATTCAATGGGACTGCTGATAGAGGTCAGTTGATGACTAACAAGACAGAACTCAAAGGTGTGGATGGGGTCTAGTTAATCGTAGAAAAAACAGGGCACCATCTCGATTTTGGCACCAGAGTTGATCATGAAAAAATTCAGGATTTTTTAACAAATATTTTGGCTCCGAATCCAGTTGGTGGTGGCTAACTTATAACTAGAATTTCACATGGGTGATCTGTATTGTACTGTGCTATCTTTAATGTTAAGGAATTAATAATCAGCCAGATACATTTTTAACTTAAAATATCAATATCTGCCTCAGAAATACAAGTATTGGGATTTTGGGCGTCTCTTTAAGATATTAATTCCACCCTGAATAATTACCTTGCCAAAGAAGGGCACCAGGTGATGTTCACAGAGAGAGAACAAATCAATGTCCTTGACAATCACCATCTCTTCATGGTTTTCATCAAAGATTGCATCGTTCAAGATATCTGTGAGAAGATTAAATGTTAGTTCTGTATTTGTACTGGAGCAAAGGTTGAAATAACAGTCGATGTCTGCATCAGTTAGGATCTACAATTTATCATATGATCATTTAAGGGACCAGACCAACGAGCCTTCAACTGTGATATGAGACAGTCAGTACTCAGACTGTGGGGCACTTATTACAGCCATATGTGTTTCTTTAAATATGCAGATGTAGAATATACTGTAATGTCAATGGATATATTAATAAAATCAAGTTAAGCACTATTGAAAGCTCAATATCTTTCAACAAGATTAAGAAGAAAGTCCATCACCTTGGGTTGTTTCTTTGTAGCCTTTGGTGAGGAACTGCATGGCTTTGGCAGCACGTAGTGGTGTACGTAGAAGTCCCTCCCGGTCGACGTCCTCTCCAAGCTCACTCAGTACGGTGCTATAAGCTTTCTCAATGTTAGACAGCCTGTCTGAATCTGCAGAGTCCTTGGAGTCCTTCTCATTTTTGCATAAACCATTATGTTTGGACTCGATGCACATGTTCAGATACTCAGCAACTACTCCGTTCATCTCTGAAGCATGGTGGTTCTCCATTCTGGCTATTAACTCTACTTTCAGTGCAAGATACAGCAGAATACGATGAAACAGGCCCAGTGGTACTCTGTTGGCTCAGTGTCTCAGAAAGGACCTCCCCTGGTTTTTATACCCTGATGTGGGGCCCTCAGGCTACAGCATCACAGGAGCCTCAAGACACCCATGCAGGAGATGATTGTATGTGAATAATTGTTCAGTTTCCACTCTTCAGTAGACTTTTCACTCTGACTAGTTTACCACACAAATCAATTTCAAATTCCCTTGTATCAAATGCCATGAAGCAGCATTTGACTGATCCTGTGATTTGAGTTTAAATACCTAGCAGTCCCATGCTCAGATGTGAGGTCATGTGAGGAACAATCACCACTCACATGCAAGCTTTTACATGCTTTTGAAGCCTTTGTCTACATGGGGAAAGGAAATAAAGTTTAATAAGATTCACCAGATGGCTGAAATATATTGAGAGACTATTCCACAGTAAGCCTTTAATTTACATTTAATGACAACATTTAGTTCTGATACAGGGAGTAGTTTAATATCTAGATGTGGAGGTCAGACTGGTGGATGAACGTACAGAGCACTTTGACTTTGACTCCAGAGCCCGTTTTATCCAACACAAGACCGACACTCCGCCTGCTGACTGTCTTGTGCTTCAGGAGAATGCTGCACACTTGTTGTTATACATCAAGATGAACCCTGGGCCATAACCAAATCTATATATAGTGAATGAACTGAGGGGTTACTTTGGTTGTATAGTTTCTATTTATTCTATACTTTATACTTCCATGTTTTCATTATTGAAAATCATTTTAGGAAATGTGTCACCTACTGTCACAATAGCATTTGTTATGATGCTCATTTAAAAATCCAGTGTGTAACATTTAGGAGGCTCTTTGGGCAGAAATGGACTATAATAGTGATAGGTATGTTTTCATTACTGTATAATCACCTGAATATAGGAACCATTGTGTTTTTGTTACCTAAGACTGAGACATTTTCATTTACAGATGTCGGGGTTGGCTTCCATGGAGTTTATTGTTGAATTGCCATGTTTCCACAGTAGCCCAGAAGGGACAAACCAAACACTGGCTGTAGATGGGGGCTTTTGTGTTTTGTTGGGCATTTTGCGGCCACCGTAGTTTCTGCTTCACCATAAATTGCACACACTGGACCGTTTAAATCTAAAATAATTCCAGTATTATGAAGAATTTGTCCTGGTACCACATGACTCTTTGTGAGTTCCTCTACATAGCCTTGGTGATATCACTAGTTTAATGATGAGGTAATGAGTAGTTTTATTCACATTGTAAATAGGGATGTGTGAAATTCAACTAGTTGTTTAAACCCTCATCAGTCGGTTAGAGAAATACTTGTCAGTTAAACTGTTTATTTTATGTTAATTGTACAGCTCCGGTTATCTGGTGCAAATAAAATGTTATACAGACACACGCCACTACCGGGAGCAGCTATTTTCTCTGTTGATGATTAACCTTATCA